AACTTATCTATTCCAGGGAACGTTTCCTCACCTGTATTGCAATAGCAGACCCTCTCTCTGGGGTCTCAACTGAATTTGCCAATACCGTAAGCAACTTGTTGTCTACCTGTCTAGAACCCATTGTTTGGATCAAAAAAGAAACAGATTTAAACTCATTATCTTTAGCACAGCTGCATTCCTTTCCACTTGTATTTATTTTATTTATCGTATCAGGAGCAAACCAAACAGTTGTATTGCATTTTTAACAAACAAACAAACAAACAAAACACAAAGTTTGCAAGCTTGGTAGTTGATTAAATGTCCTTTGACCAACAGCTGGCCACTTGGAGTGCCTCTGGTGTTACTATAAGAAGGTAATAATAATAACAACAACAACAACAACAACAACAACACTTTATTTGTACCCCGCTACCATCTCCCCAGGGGACTCGGTGAGGCTTACATGAGGCCGAGCCAAAATACAACAATACAAGCAATAAAACAAGAACACAAGTAATTGAAATTAAAAAAAAACATAGACAATAAAATATACAACATTTTCAATAAGACAACACACAATTAAAAACAGTGGGAAGGCCAAATGTAAAATTAAAATTGGAAGTGATGCTGGGACATGAACGAGAAGGTGATACTGGTGTTTGTGGAAGGACATACGAGCAGACCTAAAGAAATGTAAAGTGCTTTGGAGGACAAAGTGCTAAGGGGTCATTATTCCGGGAAGGCACACTGGAACAGCCACATCTTCAAGCTCCTCCTGAAGACTGCCAGAGTTGGAGCCTGTCTGATGTCTTTAGGGAGTGAGTTCCAGAGTCAAGGGGCCACCACCGAAAAGGCCCTCTCTCTCTCTCTCATCCCCACCAATTGCGCCTGCGAGGCTGGTGGGATCGAGAGCAGGGCCTCTCCGGATGATCAAAGGGATCGCGTGGGTTCCTATATGGAGATGCGGTCACGCAGGTTGGCAGGTCCCAAACTGTTCAGGGCTTTGTAGGTAAGAACCTGCACCTTGAATTGGGTCCGGCAAATGAATGGCAGCCAGTGGAGCTCCTTGAACAGGAGGGTTGACCGCTCCCTGTAAGGAGCCCCAGTTAACAACCTGGCTGCCGCCCGCTGGATCATCTGGAATTTCCGGGCCGTTTTCAAGGGCAGCCCCACGTAGAGTGCATTGCAGTAATCCAGTCCTTTATTGTGCATGTAGCAGGGTTCAGGTTGCATTGCAGCAGATGGTCTGTAGTTTGCTCTTTTCCACACCCGCATGTCGTGGATTCCACTTTGTAGCCCCATTTCTTAAGATTGGCTCTGCATCTCGTGGTGCCAGAGCGCAGTCTGTTCAGTGCCTTCCAAGTTGCCCAGTCTTCTGTGTGCCCAGGGGGAGTCTCCCATTTGGTATCAGCCATTGATTGAGATTCTGGGTTTGAGCCTGCCACTTTTGGACTCTCACTTGCTGAGATGTTCCAGTGAGTGTCTATGTAGATCAGGGGTCCTCAAACTTTTTAAACAGAGGGCCAGGTCACAGTCCCTCAAATTGTTGGGGGGCCGGATTATAATTTGGAAAAAAAAATAATGAATTGCACACTGCACATATCTTATTTGTAGTGCAGAAAAAAACCACTTTAAAACAATACAATAATTACATTGAAGAACAATTTTAACAAATAGGATTGTTGTTGTTGCTTTCAAGTCGTTTCAGACTTAGGTTGACCCTGAGTGAGGGCCGGGTAAATGACCTTGGAGGGACATATCCGGCCCCCGGTACTTACTTTGAGGACCCTTGCCTGAATAGAATCATAGAATCATTGAATCAAAGAGTTGGAAGAGACCTCATGGGCCATCCAGTCCAACCCCCTGCCAAGAAGCAGGAATGTTGCATTCAATCACCCCTGACAGATGGCCATCCAGCCTCTGTTTAAAAGCTTCCAAAGAAGGAGCCTCCACCACACTCCAGGGCAGAGAGTTCCACTGCTGAACGGCTCTCACAGTCAGGAAGTTCTTCCTCATGTTCAGATGGAATCTCCTTTCTTGTAGATTGAAGCCATTGTTTCGTGTCCTAGTCTCCAGGGAAGCAGAAAACAAGCTTGCTCCCTCCTCCCTGTGGCTTCCTCTCACATATTTATACATGGCTATCATATCTCCTCTCCGCCTTCTCTTCTTCAGGCTAAACATGCCCAGCTCCTTAAGCCACTCCTCATAGGGCTTGTTCTCCAGACCCTTGATCATTTTAGTCGCCCTCCTCTGGACACATTCCAGCTTGTCAATATCTCTCTTGAATTGTGATGCCAAGAATTGGACACAATATTCCAGGCGTGGTCTTAGAAAACTATTTTTTGATTTAAGTCTTAAATCCAATGGATTGATCAATAAGCAGACACAAGCCTTTTCCTCCACAAAAAAGGGGGCGGGGCTTCCCCACTCTGACCGAAAAGGCTTCCAACGATAAAGGTGCGCGTGGCACCATAGAAGCAGGAAACAGAACGCGACTCGCTGGCGACGTGTGTGTGAAGGAGTATCTATCACTCTAACTCATTTCTAACTCTATATCCTTTGTGTTGTCTAAATCTCCTTTCCCCTCTCCTATAGCGACGCGTGCGCAGTGCCGGGGTCCCACCTGGACCGCTCGGCGAAGGGGACTGGGGGCGTGGCTTAGCCCTTGGGCGCGAGCCGCCTCTCTCTCTCTCTCTCTCTCTGAGGCGAAAGAGGGAGGATGGAGTGAGAGTGCCATGGCGTCCCAGTTCCCGGCTGAGGAAGGCGGCCGAGGCGACCAGCTCAGCTCCGGCGACGAGGAGGAAGAGGGCGAGAGAGCGGCGGCGGTGGCGGCGGCGCTGCTGGGGGAGTCTCCGGGCCCCGGCTCCGACTCGGAGAGCCCCTCGCCTCCGGGCCTGGCCGAGCAGTTCGAGCGGGCGGCGGAGCGCGTGCCGGGCCTGGTGGCGGTGGCCAGCAAGGAGCAGCTCCTCGCGCTCTATGCGCGCTACAAGCAGGTGAGGAAGGGGCGCGCGGGCAGGAGGGGAGGCGCCTCTTAAAGGGCCCGCTCCCCCTTCCCTCCCTCAAAGGGACCCAAAGGGACTCTTCAAGGCCTCTCTGCCAACTTCGCCTCAGGGCGTTCGGCTGCCATTCAGAAGTTTCCTACAGAGAGTAGAATAACTTTATTGTACACTAGCCATGCCCGGGTGATTTGAAAAGTGATTATTATTATTATTATTATTATCATCTACTAGCTGTCCCCTGCCACGCGTTGCTGTGGCCCAGTCTGTTGATCTGGAAAATAAAGTAATGAGAAAGTGTTGGTTTCTAATATATGTAATTTCTTTCTGCTTGTGGGTAAACAGTATTTCTTGCTGTTTCTTTGTCAGTGTTGATGTCAAGAGTGTCTGGTTTGCCCACTTTGAAACATGCAAATATAATTGTCCTTCTTGAAGGGTCCCTTTCAAATGTATGATACTATCTCTCTCTGTGTGTGAATCATATCTATCTATCTATCTATCTCTATGGCTGGATGGCTCTTTGTCAGGAGGCTTTGATTACGTTTTCTTGCCCTGGTGAAGGGAATTAGACTGCATGGCCTTAAGTATTTTCTGTTGGTCATGGGGGTTCTGTGTGGGAAGTTTGCCCCAATTCTGTCGTTGGTGGGGTTCAGAATGCTCTTTGATTGTAGGTGAACTATGAATCCCAGTGATTACAACTCCCAAAAATCAAGGTCTATTTCCCCCAAACTCCATCTGTGTTTGTATTTGGGCGTATGGAATATTTGTGCCATGTTTGGTCCAGATCCATCATTGTTTGAGTCCGCAGTGCTCTCTGGATGTAGGTGAACTACAACTCCCAAACTCAAGGTCAATGCCCACCCAACCCTTCAGTATTTTCTGTTGGTTGTGGGAGTTCTGTGTGCCAAGTTTGGTTCAATTCCATCGTTGGTGGAGTTCAGAATGCTCTTTGATTGTAGGTGAACTATAAATCCCAGCAACTACAACTCCCAAATGACAAAATCATAACTTTTTGAGTGATGGTCACTCCTTGTGTTGTGAGATGTTTTGTTGCCAAATTTGGTGTGATTTCGTTCATTGGTTCTTTTGTTTTTAAGGAACTCATTATGCACAGAGCATTTATATATATAGAGAGAGGATATATAAATAAAAATGTAATGTTCGTTTGTGGGATTAACAAAACTCAAAAAAAAAACTGGACGAATTGACACCAAATTTGGACACAAGACACCTAACAACCCAATGTATGTCCTTCACTTAGTTTTTTTTATTTTATCATTTGGGAGTTGTAGTTGCTGGGATTTATAGTTCACCTACAATCAAAGAGCATTCTAAACTCCACCAATGATGAAATTGGGCCAACTTGGCACACAGGACTCCCCTGACCAACAGAAAACACCAGAAGGGTTTGGTGGGCATTGACCTTGAGTTTGGGAGTTGTAGTTCACCTACATCCAGAGAACACTATGGACTCAAACAATGATGGATCTGGACCAAACTTCATCATCATCATCATCATCACTTTATTTCTTAATTAGTCGCTCTCCACCAAAGTGCTCTGAGCGACTTACAATTTAAAATAGCTTATACACAATATAAAACATTCAATATAAAAACATTCAACATAAAAACATTCAAACTTGACATGAATATTCCATATGCCCAAATATGAACACAGATGGAGTTTGAGGGAAATAGACCTTGACATTTGGGAGTTGTAGTTACTGGGATTTATAGTTCACCAACAATCCAAGAGCATTCTGAACCCCATCAATGACAGAATTGGTGCACATTTCCCACACAGAGACCCCATGACCAACAGAAAATACTTAATGACATCCAGTCCAACTCTCTTCACCAGGGCAAGAAAATGTTATAAAGACCTCCTGACAAAGAGCCATCCAGCCATAGATATAGATAGATATGATTCACACGCACACAGATATAGAATCATAGATTTGAAAGGGACCCCTAAAGAAGGACAATATGTTGCATGTTCCAGAGTAGGCAAACACTGACAAAGAAACAGCAAGACATACTGTTTACCCACAAGCATCAAGACATTACATATATTAGAAACCCACACTTTCTCATTACTTTATTTTCCAGATCACCAGACTGGGCCACAGCAACACGTGGCAGGGGACGCCTAGTGAATTGTGTAACAGCGCTCCATGCAGTCATGCCGGCCACATGACCCTGGAGGTGTCTATGAGCAACGCCGGCTCTTCAGCTTAAAAATGGAGATGAGCACCACACCCCAGAGTCAGACATGACTGGACTTAATGTCAGGGGACAACCTTAACCTTTACCTATTTTCTTCTATATAAATAAAAATGTAATGTTTGTTTGTGGGATTAACAGAACTCAAAAACCACTGGACGAATTGACACCAAATTTGGACACAAGACACCTAACAACCCAATGTATGTCCTTCACTCAAAAAAATTGATTTTGTCATTTGGGAGTCTCTCCTGGGCTCTCTTAAGCCACACTTCTGTATGAACATCCCAGGTAAGATCCTCTCTAACAGTGACACCCAGTGACTCCCTAAGTGGCCACCCGCTCCACTTAGTCTCCATTTATAACCAAGGGCTGAATTTCTGATCTATTCTTTCTGTAGAGAATTATGATGATGATTGGGGAACTCCAGATTTAGGATAGAGTCCGAATATTCATATCCTGGTGTCATAATGAGCTTGATCCCCCATCACCCCCTTCCTTAGGATTGCTTGGGTTGCCAGTTGAAAAGCAAATTGCGCCACACTTGTATGAGGGTCCTCTCTAAACATATTGTTCTGAATCAGAACTTTCCAATACTTCATGTCGGTCACACATTTTTTAGATGTGCATTGTTTTGCCACACAGGTTTGCTAGCAAACCGGAGGTTAGACCAACCCCTTGATAAGAGATAGAAACACATACAAAAACTGTAATAGTAAAATGTATAGAACGATAATAACATTAAAAATTATATTATATTAAAAATTATATTAAAAATACAGGCAGTTTCCGAGTTACAAACATCTGATTTACAAATGACTCATAGTTACAAATGGGGCTGAGACAACAGAAAGGGAGAGAAATCTGCTCCTCGAAAGGAAAATTCACTCCTATCATGGGGAAGAAGTGTCTCCACTGAAGCTTTATTGCCAGTCTTTGTTTATACAACAAGTGAAATCTTTCAAAATCCAGTCATAGGAACAGAAAATAAGGTGAAATTTTCTGAACAGGGACACAGACAGCAGAGTACACACCACAGGAGTGTTAATCCCTATGCTATCAAATATATATATTTGGTCAGAGTTATACCTAAAAATGTAGCTCTTCTGACTTATATATAAATTCAGCTTATGAACAAACCTACAGAACCTATCTTGTTTGTATCTTGGGGACTGCCTGTATGTGATTTATTGCTTATTTCGTATAGACTCAGAGGCATCTCCTTACATTCGCACTGCAGCCAATATATTCATGCCTCACGAAACATAGTTTGGAAAGCTCTGCTCTGGATACTTCCTGAAAAAAAAATATTTCTGAAAAAAAAATTCATTGTAGTCAAAAAAGTAAAACTTCATTCTTAGCTTTCCTATTCCCAGAAGTAGACATGGCCGGTCCTATGTGTAGTCATGGCCATACGGTGATAAATCATTGGGTTGGAAGAGACCACAAAGGCCCTACCTTTCTGAAAAGCATGGAGCTTTAACCAGTAGGAATGTATTTTTAGTCCTATTCTATTATAGAAAAAAAGTTTTGTAATCTTTACAATCAAGAACCCATAGTATCTGACAGACACGAGTAACTTGATCATCTGGTAACCACTCCCTTGCCAGTAAATTGTGTGATCCCATCCCAGGCTTGAAGGATGTTTTGACAATGCTACCTTATTATTTAGGTGTGACTGGATGTGGGAAGGACTGTAATTCTATATTGCTCCAGGAATAATGTTGTAGTCCAGTTTGGAGAGCGGCACATTCCTTCACTCTGTAAGCAGAGAGATAAATCCTGCAAAATTATGTCTTTCAGTACTTGATGAAAGAGAAACAGTTCTATTTGCATGCATAGTAGCCATCTTGGTTTCCATGACTGTCCTCATAATTTCCCTTCCTTAACTTGAGTTGAATTAACTTATACCTAATTTATTTATTTATTCTGTTTATATGTCACTTTTCTCCTGGATTAGGACCCAAGGCTACTCACAGAAGGATCAGTTAAAAACATCACATTAAAATGGCATGTTAAGAAAAAAATTAAAAAGCATATAAAGTATTGCCACTAACACTTGAAAGTTTTTGTAGGAATTTCTGTAGTTTCTGAGATACAACAGGTTTGGTCCACATAGCCTGAAGAATCTAGGACCTTGATTAAAACATAGAAAACATTTTTTTAATCTCTGGAAGTAGAACTTCACATCTGACATCACATGTTGTACTTTCTTTGGTATGGTGACAAGATTGCTTACTTTTCGTTGTACTTTTTTCTTCAGGTCAAATGTGGTACCTGCAACACTCCCAAACCTGGATTTTTTGATTTTGAAGGAAAGCAGAAATGGTAAGTACAGAATCTTTTCTTAGGAAATTTGATTTTCTTTCATGGTTGCCTATAGTAAATTTATTTTGCATTAATTGTTGGAAAATTCTTAGGATCGGTATGCTCAATTATATTTTTGCTTTCACATACATTTTTAACATAATGATGGGCCTCTAAATTTTCCCTAAGAAGACTGTTCTTGTTTAACTAGTTATTCATTTTGTGAAGGCATGAATGCCTTGCAAAGGTTACAGCCTGTCTCATTTTACTGGTGATAATTATGTTTGTTGTATATGAAGGACTTATATGTAAGTTTTTTTCATTTGGATTATAGAAGTTCTCCAGCTCTCTTCAGGGAGATTCTGAGATTGTACCACTCCCTTCCTCAAAGGTTTTAGAAGAAGAAGGCAGTATTTGCAAACTCATTAAACATCCACTGGTGAAGACTTGTTTTACATTCTGAACTTTACAAGAACCTCTTGGTGGAAGGGTGCTCTATTCTTAGAACATCTCCCATATTAATCATATCAATCAATCATCAAACTGCTTCTTAAACTTTTCTGAGTTTAAAGAAGGGTTCAGGTTTTCATAAAAGGCTTCATTTGGGAAATGGCTTTGGATGCCTGATTAGATATAATAATAATAATAATAATCATCATCATCATCATCATCATCATCTGCCCGCTGCAAAATGCCACCTTACTGGGATCTGCTCGCATTATCTGTCAATACATCACACAGTCCTAGACACTTGGGAAGTGTCCAATGTGTGATCCAATACAACAGCCAGCAGAGTGTCTGCTGTGGAGTCATCTTGCTGTGTTTCAAATAATAATAATAATAATAATAATAATAATAATAATAATAGTTTTTATCTCTTGCCCACTTCTCCTCACAGCTCAAGATGGGTTACACCATTACTAAAACATAAACAAACACATAATCATTTTAAAATACTCCATAAAATACATATATTAAAATATATTTCCGCAAAACAAAAATTAGGCATACAGTGTTAAAATTCATCATTAAAACTGTCTGGGTAGAACTGCTGGAAGAGATAGGTCTTCACTTGTATCTTAAATTCTGACAGTTGATCTAGCTGTCGGAGCTGTACCAACAGGGTGTTCCACAGTCGTGGAGTGGCTGATGAAAAGGTCCTCTGGGTGGTGGTTTTGCTAGTCAGGTTTTGGTTGGTAGGGTAACTGCCCCCCCCCCCCCCCGAGGGCCTAAGTGTGCAGGGCGGATTGTATGGAAGAAGGCTATCCTGTAGGTAATCTGGACCGAAACCATGTAGGGCTCTAAAGGTTGAAACCAACATCTTGTACTTGGCCTGGAAACTAATTGGCAGCCAGTGGAGAGACTTTAGGCTAGGTGTAATATGCTCACTCCTAGATGTTCCCATAACTAATCTGGCTGCCGTATTTGAACCAGCTGGTGGCCCAATGTAGAGCATGTTGCAGAAGTCCAGCCTTGAGGTTTCCAGTGCATTCATGACCATCTTCAGGTCCTCCAAATCTAAGAAAGGGCACAGCTGGCATATTAGCCGAAGCTGATAGTAAGCATTCCTGACCATTGCATCTACCTAGGCTGACATTTAGAGAGGTGAATCCAGGAGCACCCCCAAGCTGCAAACATAGTCTTTCAGGGGGAGTGTAACGCCACCCAGGACTGGTTGACACACCTCCATCCCCAAATTAGGACCCTTGATGGCAAGCACCTCTGTTTTGTCTGGATTCAGTTTCAATTTGTTTTTCCTCATCCATCCCATTACCTTCTCCAGGCATTCATTCAGAGGAGACACAATGTCTTTAGCTCTTGTTGCTTTTGAAGGCATGGAGAAATATATTTGGGTGTCATAAGCATACCGATAACTCCCTGCCCCATGCCTATGGATGGATGATCTTTCCCAGCAGTTTCATGTAAATTCTAAAAAGCATTGGGGATAGAATGGCACCCTGTGGGATACCACATAGCAGCTCCTTTTTTGAGGAGCAGCTATCCCCAAGCTCCACCATCTGGAACCTGCCTGAGAGATATGACCGGACCCACTGCAACACAGTACCTCTGATACAGTGGTTCTCAACCTGGGGTCCCCAGATGTTTTTGGCCTACAATTCCAAGAAATCCCAGCCAGTTTAGCAGCTGTTAGGATTTCTGGGAGTTGAAGGCCAAAAACATCTGGGGACTCCAGGTTGAGAACCACTGCTCTGATACCTGTCCCCCCTCCCCCAGGCATTCCAGAAAGATATCATGGTTGATGTTATTGAAAGCCACTGAGAGGTCTAGAAGCACCAACAGGGACACACTCCCACTGTCGCTGTTGAGACGGAGATCATCCACAAAGGCAACCATCGCAATCTCAACTCTGTGTCCTTCTCTGAAGCCACTTTGAAATGGGTCAAGGAAGTGTGTGTCATCCAAGACTGCCTGTAGTGTTTCCCAAAACAACTTAAATACAACTTGAGAGTTCACCAATGGATGGGTTTAGGGAATTGTATAAAAACAATTGTAGTATTCTATACTTCTTATCTGTCTCTTGTGTTGTTAGAAAATATGTTTAGGCTGAAACTGTTGAAACCTAAGCAGAAACATGGTGATGTAAAGCATGCATGTACATTAGCTTACTAAGGATATGTAATTAATTTTTGAAAACCTGATCCTGGGAGACATTTGATACTGTATGTGCTAGTTTTTACTGACTAGTGATTGTTCTCTCCCATTCAGGGAAGCTTGGAAAGCATTAGGTGATACAAGTACTGAGCAAGCAATGAGAGACTATGTTGCTACTGTGAAGAAACTGGACCCTGATTGGAATCCACAGGTACATTAAAAGCCTTGTTTTATTGTAATATTAAAACCATTGTTATGCCAGCAGATGCTTATTAAAATGTTGCAAGTCCCTTCCTTTCCCCAAATGCTTCTGTTCTGCCTCATGTCCTGTTTTTAAGAGTTTTTCAGCTACTGGAGCCAGTTTTGTTGCTGTGTGGAGACAGTAGGGTGGAAGGCGAATAGGTCCCAAATCCCAATTCTGCAAATGGAAACATTTCATCAGTAGAATTCTAGTGCTGGATTCTCATGGCATACATTGGGATGGTGAATTTATACTTGTCAGATGTTTTGGACTTCCGTTGCCCTGATCATTGGTCGTGGTGGCTGTTGGATGATCAACATCACCAATCCACTCAATATACATAGGAAATGTATAGAAGATGTTTTAGATTTGACCTTTTAATGTGAAACGTGTGCTCCATCACTCAGCTATAACAAGTCAAAACTGCATATATCTGGTATTATGTCTTACTGTGCAGTTTCAGTAGCTGGAGAGATGCTATGTGAACTTTTCTGAAATAAGCAGTATTATCTCAGCTTCTACCTGCAGTATGAAAAAAATGCTGGTGCTAGTAGGCTTTTTATGACAATCATAAGTGTGAGGTTAATGTTATAAAAATGACATTGAGAAAACCTGGTGGGTAACTGCACTCTGTATTATTTCTTGTGGGATGATGTAGTTTGTGCTTTAAATCCATCATTCATGATTGGTCATGAGATTGTTTCCTGGCAGAAGAGAAGCTTGATGGACTTCTTGAAACTCTTGAGTCCCTTTCTCCGTTGTTAATACACACACATACTATTTTGGTGGATAGTAATGGTAGAGTAGGGTTCAGTGAATGTGAGTAGAATGAGATGAAAGGTTGGTAAACAATACTCCCCACCTATAGTCTCTTTAAGGGGAGCTGTTTGATTATGCTTGCTGTAATTCAAACATGGTGCTTCAAGATGTTTTACATATAGAATAATTCCTAATATTATTAAGATGATCTGAAATTTAACAATATTGACATATAACTATATGTACAAAATTTAGTTCTGTGTTTTCCAATTATTTTCTTTACAATTGCTTTCTGTCTTTATAATTACTGTAATTCAAAATAAACTCATTTAAAAATGTTATGTCCCGAGTTCCTCTCAAAATTGAATGGGAACTATTAGGAATTTGTAGACCACAGATTGGAAATTTTTCTGGTCATGGACAAAACCATCCATGATAGTGATTTTTGATATGCATGGTTGCCTCCAGCACAATTGAGGGGCGAAAAGCTGAGTTGAATTGTCCAAGCTAAAGCAGTGGGTATCCATGCCTGAGAGGGGATTCGAATCCTGGTCTCCAGAGTTATAGTCCATTGGTCATACCATGCTGGTTCAGTGATGGCACCACATAAATAAATGATGATGATGATAATAATAATAATAATAATAATAATAATAATAACAATAAAAATAGTGGGTGGCTTTTGAATTCCACTGGGAAATAAGTTTGAGGATAGGCATGAATGGAGAAGTGGAAAGGCACTTGGCTTGGTATATCCAAGAGAGAGCATACTAATGCATCCTCCCACTTCAATTTTGGAAGAGAAAAATGTGAACTGCATTGAATTGGGAAGGTGGAAAGGTGCTTTTTAGAAGTTGAGTAAGAGTTGTGGAGTTGTGTGGAATGATTATGAATAATATTTTGGGCTTTTGTTTACTTGTAACACTTGCAACCCTTTTCTATGTAAAACACGAGATTCTTATCAAGAATCTCTGCAATCCAACAGGCAGAAAAGTGCTAACCCAGACATGGGCAAACTTGGCCCTCCAGGTCTTTTGGACTTCAACTTGCACAATTCTTATAATGGTATGAACTTTGTCTATGCCTGGGCTAGGAGCTGCACATGGTGTGCAGCTTTGCAGGTCATTTTTTTGTGAGCAGCATTTTATGGTGAGAACCTGGTAATCATAGAAAAAACGTTCTCTCCTAATTTAAAATCCCTTGCTAACTTCATTTCTGTTATTTCCCTCAAGTACAGTCTTCCTACAGTCACCTACAGTTTAAACGTAGCTGACACTATCTTTTTTATATGAAGATCTTTATTATGTGTTTTTAGACTTCTGAAGCTGCAATGGTAAGAAGACTTTTCTGAAAGCAATCTCCTCTGAATCCACTGGGATTTATTTCTGAGTAAATGTGAACAGTTATCAATCAGAATTGCACAGAAGCAAACTTCTTACCATGCAACATTTTATTAATGAAAAACAGGACACACATAACATGGTACCTTTCAAGAGCTGTTATGGTGTCAGAATTTATGAGGAAAAACACACACGCTAGGAGAGGCTGGAGCAGTTTACTTTTTCCTGAACCTACTGGTAAGGGAAAGATACCACTCTCCCCCTGAATTAAGTGAATGCTTGCTTCTTTCATACTTTGAATGCAGTTTGCAGCTACTAAAGTTAGCTAAGTACAAGAGGAAATTAAAGTAGGAGAGAGAAACTGGGACATTTTAAAAGCATATCTTGAATTTCTTCAGTAACCTAACCTCCCCCCTTCATTGTAGCCATTTTAATGATAGTCGCCTACCACAGTTGTACGTATTTTCTAATGAAAATAAAATGAAAAGAATACTAGTATTAATAACAAAACCACTGATTTGAGAATTTAAGAAATTTTGGAGTGTTTTAGATAGGAAATTGGTTTGTTTTCTGTAACATTTCTATAAAATTTAAAATCTCCCTAAATTTGCATGTGTATATAGATTGGTGTTTTACACCCTATTTTTTGACAAGGTACTTACTTACTTGGGCAATCCCTCGTTGGCTGAGTAGGATAGTCTTCCAGGATCAGAATTCTTGTGAGTCTGTAGGTGGCTGTGGAGCCCTATTCTTGATCTGCATCTTCTTCCGCAGTGAGGGCATTGGTTTCCAGTTGGAAGGCGGTCCCAGTCGGGGTTGGCTTGATGTGCCTTACTCTTGGCACGTTTCTCTCTTACACCCTCCATTTGTGCTTCTTCAAATTCTGCAGCACTTCTGGTCACAGCTGACCTCCAGCTGGAGCGCTCAAGTGCCAGGGCTTCCCAGTTCATATATACAAGGTATATATGGCCACTTTGTTAGGAAAATGAGATGAAATTTTTTAAATTTCTCTGCATTTATTATTTTACAGTGTTTATATGCTTTTTATTCCCAATTTTCTGATTTCTTGAGCTTTCTTCTGAGTAAAAAGGAATTGTGTAATATAACCTACTAATGATAAGACAGCATCTTAAGAGGTAGACCTTTTGCCTTTAAATTTTTTGATACAATTGCTGAGGCCTTCAAACTCAAGAATAGAAAAAGTGGATGGTAGAAATGGTAAAAGGAATTTAATCCTCTATTGAAGGATTCTTCTATTTTTCTAGGAGATAATGGAATGGAATTCATGTGTTTATAAACACCTGCCTACAATTGACTTCCCCTTCCACTGTCATTTTGTGTGTCCGTAAAATGTCCTCTTGTTTGTATGCTGAATGTCTGTCTGTCACAGACTTCATTGTCCTTGGTTACTTCTTATTCTCCTTGCAATGTATAAACTAATTAAGCCCATGGCCACAAGAGGGAGCTCCAATTCCATTACTGAAAGGGGGAAAATCATTTTTAAAGCATTGCAGTCCTTTCACAGCAATCATCACCTTTAAATTTGGATTCAAAAATATGTGTAGACTCTATGAATATAAAATGCTAAAGATTTTTTTCAACAAATAAAGAGGTCATTTATTTGATTGCTTACTCTTAGTCGTCTAAGAATACTAGGAATGTAACCACTGCTTTGCTTGAACTGGCCAAAGGCTGATTTGGTCTTTTCCCGAGGAGCTAGCCAGCCAATCCAGTAGACTCACAAGTAGTATGGGTTATTTACAGCTCAAGATATTGTTTCTGCATATTCAAGTGCCATTCATCATTTATACGCTGATTGTGAGTTTCTAGAGGGAACTCTAGAATAAGCAGTGGAATTCATGTGCTCTTTCATGTCCCAGCAGTCTTAAACTACATAAAAAATCTTGAGGAATGGTGGAAACCACAATCTAAAAACAACTGGAGGCTGCATGACTCTTAGAGGCTTCTATGAAATTTATTTGTCAGTTCCTCTAAATTTTACCATATATTTTTGTATATAGGTATACCGCATGTATAAGGCAAATGCAAATTTTGGGAACAAAATTATGAACTTTGATATGATCTCTTCGATAAGTTGAGGGCAAAGTTTTGGGGTCAGCATGTGCTCAGCCAGGGTTTCTGCTAGGCAGCAGGGGGATGGTACAGTAACAGAATCCCCGTCTATCCCTGGTTTTCAGACTCGGGTGCACACATTCAATGCGATTCAGCTTTCTAGTGGGTAATCTGGTCAGGTTAAGGTGGTCTTTATAGACCACAGATACCCCCCCCCCCCCCCCCACACACACACACTTTCCCTCATATGCTCACTGACAGAGCATCTGGCTGGGAGGGCCTGCGCCCAGGTTGGACCACTCTCATCTCCCAGCCAAGTTTCCATGAAGTATGTCATATCAGTCCCCTCAACGAAGCAAGCCAGGTTAGTTCTTTCATTTTTGAGGTGATCATGGATTGTATGTGTTTTATTTTTAACTGGCAATACTTAAGAGCAAGGTGAGTTTTTGTGGATGGTCTGGCTCACTCTCCATGTTTCCCAGTCAGACAGGGTGACCAGAAGGTGCGCTAGGTATTAAACAGCTTTCTCTCTTATTTGTTTACATTTATTTATTTACAGTATTTATATTCCGCCCTTCTCACCCCGCAGGGGATTCAGGGCGGATTACAATGTACACATACATGGCAAACATTCAATGCCAAGACATACAACATAGACAAGACAGTCAGAGGCTATTTAACTTTTTCTGGCCGCCAGCGGAGCTGTCGCTTTCATCGTCCATCTGCAACACTTATGAAGTACTTCCGCATTCCCTGCATGCTTTTGCTGGAGTGCATTTCTGGAGTCTTTTTATGGCC